TACCCGAGCCCGTCCGCCCCACAGGCGGCGGGGCCCAGGACAGCCCCTCCACGGGCCTCCCGTGCATGCAGCAGGGAAGGACTGCAGACACTTCCAAAAATCACATTCTAAGGGTTAAAAAAACAACCAAACCAACCCAAACAGAGCCTTTCCCGGCTGGATTTGTGCTATCCCAGCAATTTAACCCCGTGGGACATGCAGTAAAGGGGCTGTGTGTAATGACCAGCAGGTGAGGCCGCAGTGCACAGCATTGCACAGGGAGGGTATGTGTATGTGTTCTTATATATAATATATACATCTCACATGTTTATGTGGAAACCTTATTCATTCCATTCAAACACGGATAAAGTGGTGGGAAAATAGGGTATGTGTATGTGTTCTTATATATACATATATCTATCTCACACGTTTGTGTGGACGCCTTATTCATTCCATTAAAACATGGATAAAGCGGTGGGAAAATAGCAGAGAAAAAGTAGCCAGTTAGGCCCTTTGGGATTGATTAACCTGCCCGAGACCAAGGGCAAAATTCGTCTTTCAAGCAAGACCTCTGTCTGCAGCCTCTCACATCTGAAATAGCACCATTATTTGTGGGCTTATATGTCAAATATCTATCAAATATCTATCTACCTGTTGCTCTGGCCCCACCTGCCCTTTCCCAGGCACAGGGCCAAATAAAGCTCCCGAAACGGCCCCTCTTCCAAATGATAAATGTTCCAAGTAGTTTTTATTTAGAATACAAGAGAGGTACAAATGTATTTACACTGTGTACATATACAATCAAATAATATATAATATCAAAGTTTTGTAAATAATGTTTTACATAAATATATACAAAGTTAAAGTGACAGTTTTTCTTTCTGGAAGTAAAACACAGTTTGTGAGAACTTTATACACCTTAGACGTATAATTAATATTAGAATACCTTCTTTTAAGCTTTATGATACACAGCCCTCCTCCGGCTGGCGGCAGGACTCCAGAGGGCGCCTACAGTTGTCCTTGGGGACGGAGCTGGCCCGGGGACCGACGTTCTCTGTCCCCAGAGGGCAGTAGAAGTAAATTTAAATGTTCCGAAAGGGAGCGACGGGCTCCGGCTGGAGCAAAGGGACCCCACCAGCCCCTGCCTGCGGATGGGGCATCTCCAGGGGGTGTCCCGGTGGCCTCCGCGTGCGTCACCGCTGGGGACAGCCCATGGGGACAAGGGGCTCCCAAGGGGGCCACGCTGGGCCTTGGACATCTCTCCCTTGGGAAGAGCCCCCTACTCCAGGGCAAAGCTGCCAGGGGCACAAAGGTGATGGCCCCTATGGGGACCGGGGAGCGCGTCCCCGCGGGGCTCATGCCAGAGCAGAGGGAGAGACGGAAAAGAACAATTTTTCCTTCCATCAAATTAACTTCAAACCACCAGGAGTGCCTCAGTTAGGGGGCAGCCCCCCAGCAAACCCGCCCGCGGCCTCCTGCCCTCGGAAGCCCCATCCCTTCGCCCACGCTGCCGCCGCCGCCATCCCG